CTCGTTCATCACGTCAGGTGTCTCCACTTCTACTCGTTGGGCTTTGTAGGCTGGTCTACTTAGGAGCGCCGGCGTTTCACGTGTCTGAGCATACGAGACCGTTTCAGCAAATGTTGGCTTTGGATTTGCATACGTCGCGCGCTTGGTATACATGTCTCGCATTCCGTTGATGAACCTCTGGATCTTTACCCTTTCGAGGTGTTCACCAGATGCATCTCCAATAGCTAAGTGAGCCAACCTCTCGATCTCTGAAGCGAATTCTTGTCTCTCTCTTGAGTCTCATTGGATTTTTGGCAGCGATTCTCCAGCTCCATCTGGTAAATCTGTCTCCTGTGCTCGCTACCATAACGTCTTTCCACTGCACCCATTAACGCATCGTAACTGTTCCTTTCACAATCAAGTCTGCAAGATTTCCGCTGCAGGTCCTTTTAATGCAACGAAGAGTGCAGCGGATTTATCATCCATGCTCCAGTGATTTGCTGCAGTCATTTTTTCGAACTGGAGCTTAAAGACCTGGAAAGGAATCGTGCCGTCAAAGGATGGGGTTTTAACCTTGGAAGCGTTCGTCGAAGTAGCTGGACGTTTTGACTGCAAACCCCGGAGACGATCTTCAAGCTCATCCACCTTAGCTTCGACTTTGTCCTGTTTTTCCTTAATAAGCGCTTCAATTTCATCTTGTCGTTCCTCGATTTTATCCTGTCTCTCTCTCAGTTCCGCGCTATTTTTGAATAAATTCTTTTGTAGCTGAGTAATATTTTCATCTAGCTGCGATGATATGCGTGTTTCCTGCACTTGCAGCTGGGATGAAATCTGCGAGGACATCTGTGACATGCGTGTGTGCTTGCATCTGTGACGACAGCTGTGATGACATCTGTGACATGGCAGCCAATAACGTGTTCATGTCCATAGCTGTTGATGAACTTGGAGACTTTTGCTGTTCTTCAGCCTTCCCGGATGTCTGCTGCATATCCTTCGACGAACAAGCGGCCTCATCCTTCGGTTAATCCTTTGCGGATGCATCGTCAAGTTTGCCCTGGAAGTCGTATTTGTCCACGTCGATGCCTTCTGCTTCCATAGCCTCTCGCAGCCGTGATAGTAACTCCACTTTTCTTCCAGAGGTTGCTAAATGTCGCTTCTCCAACTCCTGTTTGAGTTCCTCAATCTTTAAATCCTGAAGTTCTGCCATTTTCAAAAGTTTATCCTTCGGGATTTATTTAACAATCCCACTTCTGATACCAATTGTTACAATTATCCTCGAAACCTTGAGACTGTGTTTATACACGGAAACATTTGTCGACGCGATTTTTCACATTCCCCTTTGGTGTTGCTCGTTTCATTTACACACGGCGATTTGTGTGTATGGAATTGTTGTTGTCAGCTGTGAACAGCGGCTCAATTTACACAGGCGAACGAGAGCACAAAGCGTGTTGCCCGAGCACGAGCAACTCGGTGCCCCTCTCCTTTCCTCGTCACGCTCTGTCCTACAAACGTCGAGTTGCGGCAACAAAAATCGCCGTATGTAAATGAGCACTAGTACAATTAACTTTATTGTACAACAAACAATTTACAATACTTGCTAATACAGTAAAAACACTTTACAATACTTGCTAAAGGAATATCAACGCTTTACTAAACTTGTTAACACAATTAAACTTATTTATAGCTTGCTTATTCGCAACTCACTTCTTTGCTCACTTTACTTGTAGCTTGCTGACTTGTAACTAACTCACTTCGCTGTGGCGGCGCCCTTATATACCTGCGCTCGCACTTATGGCAACTCTAGAACGTTCTGAAGTTTATCGCTCATTCTCTTTCTCTCGCTGTTCGCAGTGTTCATACAACTTGATGTTTCTCTTTGTGGAACATTCTACGTCATTCCTCGAACATTCTGCCTATTTCTCTTTGTTCGCTTTGTGTTGCTGCAGTATTCGCCACATTATGTTAATCCAGTTTCACGTGAAGTTATAGCATTTTATGTTGTTATAATAAACTTTGCCACAATTTTATATTAAAAATGCCGATTTGATTAGGATTCCTAAATTATGCTATACGGCAACTATATTTTCTGCGTTTTGTGTACTCTCCTTCTTCGTTAAATATTTCAGCCAATCAGAACTTACTTCGCAACTACGTCATTGGAGGAAAACAAATTTTTGACAGCACCATGTCGTATTCTTCTATTTAGGAACCTTGATTTTGCATATAAATATTTGCCAAGTGTACCTTTTAGACATTTGCCAATCCTGCCTATAAAAGTAAGAAAACTAAATGATTTGGCCACTGATGGAGCCAATGTTATGGCTGGAGACTTGGGCGGGCTGAAAACATTATTGAGTGCAGAAACCGATTTACTTTAATAAAATGCACATGCCACTCACTTCCCCTTTGCTCAAGCTACGCTTCTAAAAAGTTGCCGGAAAGCATTGAGACACTGTACCGCAACATATATAGCTTCTTTTCCCACAGGCCAAAGGGGATACATGAACTGAAGGAGTTTCAGGACTACTGCTCGGTAAAACCCCACAAAATCTTGGGCATATCTCAAACACGATGGCTTTCACTAGAAAGAGTTGGGTTAAGAATAGTTGAAGAATGAGATTGTTTGAAGCTTTATTTTATTTCCTGCTTTTACGAAGATAACGGTATGTGATTTCAGACCTGGCAGAAGGAATGTGTTGCAAAAACCAAATGCTATTTTTTATTTCTGTTGTATATTTTCCCATAATTAACAATCTTAACAAAGAGTTCCAAGATGAAAGCTCTCGTTTGCCAAACTTATATACAACTATCAAAGAACAATATCTCTTAATTTTGAGTAATTTTATTAAAAAAGATGCGATCAGTAACATATTAATGTTGAAAATAATCATGTTAAAATATCTGACATTTTTGTTGGAACGATAACTGAGATGTTTATGAAAAGTAATGTCAATTGTTCTGGAATCCTTGAAGTTAAAACCAATATATTAAAGTTTTACATAGACACCCCTATTCTGCCCTCTTTCGTATTCGGATTTTGCTACGAATCGTAGAAATAGTATGCTGCAATACGAATCGTATTTTCAAACTTTCGAAATTCGTAACAATGGCATGCCTAAAAACGAACGAGTAAGCTTTTTTGCGTAATTTTGTACGAAAACAATTCTGTGTCGGAGGCGAAATAAAAGATGTAAATCGATGTGTGTTTACAAGAAATATTGGTGCTGTTCATTTAAACAGATAAATTTGCATTTCGCATATACGTATATTTTTATCCACTGCTTCATATAAACGAGCAAAACAAAATCTTTGTTGCCCCTTATCGAGAAACTTGGGTCCGGTTTAGTTATTTGTACAATGATTTTCGGTTGCTGTGTCCAAACGTATAACCCGAATCCAAAAACTTTAACATACACGTGTAATCAAAGGATTCACATTTTATTTAATATAAATGTTTCAAATTTCCTAGCTTTTTAATAAACTCGGTTTTCACTATGCACTTTTTTGGAAATTTCGACGTGGGTTCTGCGCAAAAATAGTGTGGAGACGTAGCCGGAGTGATATGCAAAAGAAATGTTGTACACCTTTGACATGCGGAAGCCCCCAATTCCTAAGCGCGACCGAAGGCAGAAGCAAGCGCAACAGGTGGTGGACCTAAAAAGTGAGTGTTTTCAATGGCTTGGAAGAAGCTGTTATTGCATTAACTGGATTGAGAACCAGTTGTGGTTCAACATTTCAACCAGAAGCTGACATAGATGCGCCCATGGTTACTATGCCCGACAGCTCCGCATACCTTTGTGAATCCATTGCCATAGCCCCCGCTTACTCTGCTGCTATAATTGCAAATGCCTACATCAGAATCCATAATTTTCCTCAAAATATGTAAAATTAACCAATTTTACAATAAACAAGCACATGATGAGTTTTTTTTTAATTCCTTACCACTTTGTTTTCCTTCATTCAGCTATCTTCGAAAAATGACTGGTAGCTGGCAATGCTGCACATGTTTCCGCAAGGGTTGCAGCATGTGGATTTTTCGTTTTTCGTAGCGTAGTTACGAATTACGAATTAGGAAAATTCGGGTTCTAGAATAAGGGGGAGAGTTTCCGGGCCAAATAAATTTAAGGTTTGATTTCAAGCGTGAAGATATAAATCTTTTACAAATAATTACACCAGCTAAGGTAGTTTCTAAAGAAAATTTACCAATATTACCTCTCTTGTTAAAGTTTCCCCATCTCATAGATTGTGATCCTGATATAATAATAACCACGCGGTGGAATTTACTGAGGCCAAGTGAGCTTGATATTTCAAGTGATCTGGATATTGATGTGCTTTGGGAAAAAGTTTATTATATTGAAAATGCATCTTGTCAATTTTGTTTTTAATATAATTTCATTACCATATAGCTCTGCGGCTGTAGAACGCAAACTTTCAACGCTTTCATTGATAAAAACTAAACTATGAAATAAACGTTAGATTGACAGTTTCAATAGCATAATGTTATGCAAGGAACTTGTAAACAAAAATGACCCGCGCTATGTGGGTCAGCTGCTAAAGATTTGTATGTGTAATTAAATGATTTAAATTTACTTTTAAGAAATTAAACTGATTGGTATATAACATGTACATATGTATATAATTCATACAACCAAGAAATGTTAAATGATCCCATCTCTGCACCTAAGACTGTATCTGCATTTATTTATATCTTGTTTTTTTTTAATGTATAAAGTACATACATATAAGTATGTATGTAAATGTTTTGTATTCGAAACATTTAATCTTATGCTTTCAGAATGCTTTTTTGAAATTGAAATTTATTTGGTAGGTTGTAAACGATTTTGGTCGGATTTGGGAAGAAAATTGGTAGGGGGAAAATTATTAGTGGCAACGCTGTTGGTGGCCCTGAAAAGGGCCTTCGGAGAAATCATATAACTTGCCTGCAAATAAATTTATATTTGTATACAAGCTTGATTATTTTTTAAAACTACGGACTTACGCTGCATGCAAGTCTTTTAATTTTAGGCGTCTGAAACACTCAGATCAGTGAGTGTGAAATGCGGATGTTGATTCATGCTGCAAGTAAAGAACGATTAATCTCTACAAATTTAAAAACGCTTTAGTTCAAAACTTACCACAAGTTTGGTATTTATATGTACTTACGGTTCTATAATGGTAGCATATGGATCTACGCCACAGTTTTTTGGCTTTTCTTTTTTGGGTGGGCATTTTCAACAAGTTCTTTATTAATTTTCGTATTTTAAAGAACATTCTTGCCCTGAAAAAAAATTTTTTCACTTTAATGTCGCGTTGAATTGTTGCAGCATGCTCATTGTGAGTTTTTATAAAATAATTTGTAATAAGCAAGCCGTATTCGTTCAATGCCTTAAACACAGACTGAAGACTTCACATATGGACCATCATAGAGGAGCTTAGTATGGATAACCCACCCTCGCTAAGATGATCCGCCCAGTAGAGTGAATGGTCGTCATTGCTCCTAAACGACGGGCTGGGGATGTCTTCCTGCAACTTGTGGCAAATATATCCCGCTAAATGCTCGAGTCCGTCTAGCTCTAAGTCTTCGAATTCCGCTTCTTCAACCGGCCACAGTTCTGCATTTGAACTTAAGTTCTTCAGCAAAATACCTGTAAAAATGGTAAAATGTATATGAATAATTATTCATACAATATATTTTTATATTTAAGCTAAATTAAATAGATAAAAAATGATTTTAAATTACTTGTAAGCGGAGGCTGCATGATTTCAATGTCTGGCGTATCATCCTCTTCTACATTAGCAGAATCGGATAACACGCCCTGTTGTGTCCTAGCAGGTATAGTCGCAGACGGTACTTGAACTCCTGTGAGGAACTAAAGCGAGCTTTAATGTCCTCGAACAACAACTTCAACGCCGTATTACTTTGAATGATTCCTAGGGATAGAGGAAGAAAAAATTACAAACATTTAACGTTATTCATGAGATAAACATATGTATTAGTTTACCTTTTTGGAATGGCAGCAGACTAAATTTGCCAAGCACCCTCATATTTTTGACTAGTTCGGCCATCTCGTCTAGGATCTTGTTTTGCTCCTCGATCGCTAAACCGTAAGCAAGACAACGGTTCCTGGAATCGGCGTAAGGCACCCTGACATTTAGAATGCCAAAGCAGTCATTTGTCTAAGTTGTATAATTTGAACGTGAGTTTTAATATTGAGGTAATTCACAAAGGCCCTCAACAACAAATTGTCGCTGCGCCAACAAAAACAGTTATGTATTTTTGTAAATTTTTTTTAAATGCATATTTTATTAACACTATCTATTGCCCACATTTCTGCATTTGCGGTTTTGTTATATCTCTTTTGGTTTAGAACTGATCAAACACAGCTATGTGCTCGTAGTACTAGATATACTCTGAAAAAAAACGGGTATACGTTACTTGCTTATAACTGTTTTTGATCGCATATGATTGTGCTTTCATTGCGATGTAAAAAATAATTATAAACCAACTAAATACCTACATACATATGTATGCACATACCACTTACACTACATAGATTCCATGATACAAATATTTAAACGTAGTTTCACTTCTTCTTCTTAGCCGCCATTGCTCCCATTTGACGTAAACTGTGATTTTGGCATTTTCTTTTGAAATCGAGCTACCATATTCTTTGACAAATGTAAAAAAGTGATTAATTACCTACTTCAAAAAATATATAATTATTTAAAAGAAAGTAGTGAGTCAGGCGGCATGACACAATTGGAGCACTGTGGCTAGTCATGTCGGCTGGGCTGGGTTCTTGCCTCACTACTGCTCCCTGCGCCATAGCAGAGAAAAGTCATGCCTGTCAAGCATCTTCGCTTCCGGCATGGCCGGAAGTATCGGACGGACGCAAATTCAAATATTAAAAAAAAACAGTTACACAAAAAAAGCTGAAAAGAAACGTTACATTTAAAATATCTGAAATAAACTGAAAGCAAAAGAAAGAAAAAACCAACACTAACACTCTGAAACAAAAGAAATTAACCAAAACAAAAAAACCTAAGGCCGAATATGAGTCACCACCGCTGGTATTGTGGTGCCTGTTGCTGTGGCCCTCATCTGTGGCGCACCCTAGTATCAGCAGCCCCATTATTACAGTCCCTACATGCCTCCCTAATCAAATGAAAGGGTCAACATTCCCATTTGGATTATAAATTTATTGACACTTAATTTTTCTTATAACTAAATTAATCCTAATTCTTAAAGCTACTCATCCTAACACTAAACTGGTAAGTATCTTAAATAGCTAGGCAAGTGATAACTCTTCTTAAAACCACGGTAAGTATCTCAATAGTAAAACTATAATTAAGGTAAGTATTAGGATAGGTAATTGTGAGCAGGTAGCCAAATCTATTTAAATTTAGGCTAAGTTAAGGTATATATAGGGGTATATACGGTAGGTACGTCAGGTAAGTATATCAAGTAAGCGAAGAGTTAGTAAAGTAAAGTGTAGTTAGAGTAAGTCTGGCAGGTATTTTAAGGTAAGTCAAGTAGGGATCTAGTCTTGAAAGCAAACCATAGCTTAGTTAATCCACTTGATTTCCTTTAAAATAATTTCTAGTTGTAATCTCTAGTTGTACTGCTCTATGGTTGTAGTTACTTATTTGTTTCTATATTATCATTATTGATTTAATTATTTATAAATTTATTATGTTATTTCACAATATTATGTGCTGGCCAATACTTTGTTATAAATTTTAAGGTTCGATTATTTATAATTATTTTAGTTGCGCTTCGGTAAATTTTTAGTTTATGTTAAATTGTATTAGGTCACTTTATTTGTATATATTCTGCTTTATTTTATTTAAAAGTTGTTATTGTTTATTCATGTAAAATTTGCAAGTTTAATTTGTGCTAAATTGTAATTTATTTTTATTTCAATTAAATCAAGTTCACTTAATTCCTTTTTAATTTTATTTAGGTTGTTAGTACCTTAATTCAGATCCCTAAGTTAGAATATAATATCTTTTTGTTTTACTTTATAGGAATTTTGATTGATTTAATTTGATTTTTTATTTTATTTATTTAATTTATTTGTTTTATTACAAATAGATTCCGTTTTAGCTAAGTTCAAAATTCAGATTTGATTATTTTATTATCCTTGTTATTTTGGAAAAAAATAGTACTGCGTTTATATATTTCTTCTGTACGTTTGCCATCTTTCAGTGCACCAAAGAATTAGTAATTATAAACCGGCTTTAAAGTGCAAGGCAAAAAAAATTAAAACTCTAATATGGGGCAATTAGGTATTACTCTCTGAATTCTTATAACATGCTTAGCGGTCAAATTAGCGTTTAGCCCTGATTGGCTAAATAATGTTCTTATCTCTAGTCAACTACTTAATAGCTTATGATAGTACGTCTATGTAGTTTTTTTAATTTTTTTCCTTAGCTTTCGACCTATGTAAATACAAAGGCATACTAATGTATGTACATATGTCAGTATAGGGAGTCAGAATAAATTAATAGTAATCATTGTCTACTTCAATACAATAGTTGGTTACATTAACGTCATCTACCATATTATCGCAGCCGCTAACGTTAGACAAATGTACTCGTTTGGGTTTATATAGTATACGTATGTATGTACAGACACATGCAAATAAAGTTCTGTTGCTTACAATATTTATTTATTTTTTTTTAAGTAAGCTTGATACATTAAGTGATAAATAAGCATTTCTAGTATTTACTTATTTAGATTTTCCAAATGAACCCTATATAATTGTTGACAACGAAATATGCAAAAAAAAAACTTACTTTAATTCAGGTTTTTTTTTGTGTACTATTTTTGTACCTACATACATACGCATGTACATGGATAGTATATTTCCCTTTTTTCTTTCTTTTCTACTTTAAGTTACTCCGAAGTTTTATTAGGGCAACAAAGGAATATTTGACCGGTACTATTAAGTAAAATTTGGTGTCCTTCGAATAATTATAATTATGATATCTATAGCTAATGAAGCAAAACAATACAAATTTGAATTCTAAATAGTTAGATCAAAGGGATCTTGAATATAAAAATTATTTCAAAAAGAAAATTTAGTTTGGAGCTCTTTATAGTTCGGGTTGGTTGTATTAAGACTCACCCACCGATGCAAAAGGCCTTGGTGGGGCCTGCTGTTGTTGTTGTTGTTAGCTGATGCGGCTGCTACGGTGTCAGTCGATGTTGTTGTTGTAGTGGTCGCTGGTTGCTACCGCTGCTGAGGCGGTGGTGGTTGTTGTCGTCGTTCGAGTGGCGCCTTAATGGTTGTTGTTGTTGCTCGTTGTTGTCGCTGCTGGTGTTGCCGCATTAATGTGGCCGCCTTGTTGTTGTTGCTCGGCGGTGTCTTGTTGCCTTTTAGCAACCGTTGCTTTCGTTCCCGGGTGCTCACCGCGGTTGGTGGTGTCCGTCGTGCGTGCAGCCGCTGCTAGGGCGTTTGTTGTTGTTTCTCGTTGTTGTCGCTGCTGGTGTAGCAGCCTTAATGTGACCGCCTTGTTGTTGTTTCTCGGCGGTGTGCTGTTGCCTTTTGGCAACCGTTGTTGTCGTTCCCGGGTGCTCACCGCGGTTGATGGTGTCCGTCGTGCGTGCAGCCGCTGCTAGGGCGGTTGTTGTTGTTGGTCGTTATTGTCGCTGCTGGTGTTGCAGCCTTAATGTGGCCGCCTTGTTATTGTTGCTTGGCTGTGTGTTGTTGTTCCCGGGTGCTCACCGCGGTTGATGGTGTCCGTCGTGCGTGCAACCGCTGCTAGGGCGGTTGTTGTTGTTGCTCGTTGTTGTCGCTGCTGTTGTTGCAGCCTTAATGTGGCCGCCTTGTTGTTGTTGCTTGGCGGTGTGTTGTTGTTCCCGGGTGCTCACCCTGGTTGATGGTGCCGCTCGTCCGCGGTGCGGTCGCCTAAATCTAAAATAAACGTTTATTAGTATTTGTGCACAGACGGGTCAAAATCAAAACGAAAGTGGGGAATTTAGCAATTTAACAACAACTTGCCTAATACCGATAAGGCGAAGGGTAGGGTATTCGCTTTTTGGGATGTGAGACCTGGGAAATTTTCGATCCTACAATTATGTTATTCAAAATTTCACTTCAGGCGTTGATGCGTTTTCACTAAAAGTAGCCCACGCTAATACTGCCGCACTCGTGGTGGCGTTCCCCCGATTTCCTTTTGATGAAACTCGCCACTCTGGCGATTAGCCTGTCGTGGTTTTACTGCCTCGAAGCTTGCAGCTCACGTGGTGTGGTTTCCTTTTCCCGTTGTTTTTTTTTTGTTCGTTTTAGTAGTTTTATAGAATTTTCCACGCGCACTTGAATCACTTTTCTTTTCTTCTTGTTTTTTTTTTCGTTTATTTGGTTATTTTAATATAGTTTTATTAAGTTTGCACGCGTACTTGACCACTTTTCTCATCCGTTCCGAATTTATTCTATCGAAACACTATCACCAATGGTCGACTGTGGGGTTGCCAGCATGATTCAATAATACAAGGTTCGATAAACTGACAGTTGTCTCTCTCGCACCGCTCCCTTAGCAGTGGCACCGTGTTGCTTCTTTGCAAATTTACATGGAAACAGTGTAGCTTTGGTGGAGATAAAAGTATAAACTTTTGTGCAATATTTTTATTTGTATATACATGTGAAGCATATTTAACTGATAAAAACATAAGCATTGGATGTTTACATCAATCTCATAGTAGTCTTTTTTTAATTTTGAATCATTTGGCATTTTTTATACAGCTAAATAGCACATAAATTACGTAATTCACGTAGATATATCAATATTACGTTCAACATTTCGTTTAAAATGCCCGATTTCCTGCAAATACATTAGAATTTACAAAAGGATTTTCACTACTAATTGCCTACTTTGTGTACTTTTCTACTTCCATTTTCGCACCAAGAGATTTCATTCTTCCCCTTTCTCCGTCCTTCGTAAAAGCAACCTTTTGTAAGGGAGTGTCAAACCGCAACTGTCAATAATTATCTAACCTTGTATTATTGAATCATGGGTTGCCAGCAGGTTTTTATACCCTTGCACTGCGGGAATATTCCATCTGGAAGAATAACGGGCACTGCGTCATTTGGACTAGTTCCGCTACTCTTCCAACTGGAATTTGCCGCAGTGCAAGGAGGAACGTCAAAAAAAGAATTTTCGAGACTCCGAGGTTACCATACTCCAATTCCACAAATTTGAGCCAGTTAAAGGCAGCCATTCAATGCTTTGCTCCTTACTGGCTGTCTTCACAGGATGAGATTTATTGTTTTTCAGCTATCTGTTGAGGTGCTAGATACAAATTATATCAGGGCAATATTTGTGCGGGTTTTTATATCCTGACATCCGCGTTTTTTTT